GAGGAGAGGAGAGGAGAGGAGAGGAGAGGAGAGGAGAGGAGAGGAGAGGAGAGGAGAGGAGAGGAGGAAAAGTCTTGGTAATTTTCTGAGGCTTGGTAAAGCATGATTGTTCTATTACCAAACTTTGGGGTGCTTGAGTGTAGAAATATGAGTACATTTTCAAGTGCTGTGCTTTTATCTGTAACTTTTACCCTCTGTGAGGTCAGTGTTGTGCATGTGCACGTGTGATAGCAGGTATGATTACAGCTCCTGGCATGCTCAAGGTGTGGGAAGGCTTGCAAAGCAATTAAAGAGATGATTGCTGCAAATAAAGCAATGGGAGTTGTATCAGGAGCTTCTGAGCCTACAGACTTTTTCTGATTTGAAATGGCAGTGAGCATGGCTTAGCAGTTACAACATCTGCACCATCATTATGTTATATTTTTACTTTAGTGATGTGAAAGCATATCTCCTTGGGATTTTATTCATTAAAGACAGCAGGGCTGCCTTTTCCCTTGTCCCAGATCTCCCAATGTCCAAGCAAGAGTTTTACCTTGTGTCTTTCCATGGGCCTCCCTGCACGGAGGAGCCTTGCAGATCTACCACCAAGTGTTCCAATGTTGCCAGCTAATTAAACATGAATTCCTTCCAACTAAGGATTTCCTGTGATTCTGCGTCCTAAGGTCTGTCTTGAGTACACAACCACATCTTCCATGCTGTGTTCCAGGAGCCCAAGCACTTCCCTTCTCCCAGCCATCTACTCAAGCTTCAATCCATCAGAAGGTGGTTGTGCCCCTCTGCGATACTAAAATTCAGCAGCATTGAAAGCAGACTGGCTCCTCTGTGCTCCTTCCCATAGAAGCCAAAAGAGTTACCTGATGCTGCTCCACCTCCAGTTCCTCAGCCTTGCTTGAGTGCAAGGGAGTGAAAGTGCTTTCTGCTTTTCCTGGTGTAGGGAGCCTGCTTTGGCAGGGGGGTTGGACTCGATGATCTCTGGAGGTCCCTTCCAACCCCTACGATTCTGTGATTCTGTGATTCTGCATTTTGGACCTTGCTTGGCCTTGTGGTCAGCTCCCATCAGCATCCAGTGTGGCTCCATCGAAACCTCCGTGTCTGCTTTTTCCAATGAGATATTTCGAGACCTTCAGAAATGCTTTGCTTACAAGAAGCTCTTGGCTCAGGAATTCAGGTCTCAACCAGAAAATCCACCGTGAGGTTCAGAAAGAGGCACGTCCTTAGTCTCGCTCTGGATCCCTGCACAAACCCTTCACAATGTGGTGTCAGTTGTACTTTTCAGCCAAACAGGGAAATGAGTCACAGAGGGCTGATAGGACTTGCCCAGCTTCACCATTCAGGCAGTGGCAGGAGTAATCCCCAGCTGCCCTTGGAAAGCTGTTCATTCATTGTTGTCCTTTTATTCTTTAGTAAACGATTAGCAGGTGAAGACATGAACCTGGTTAGCCTTGAACACATTGTAAAGTCATGAATCTTGATAAAAGGCAGCACTTTTACTGCTGCTTACACGGTGGATTAAACATAGTAAATACAACTGTGCCATGCCCCTGTTTTTCAGCCTAACAAACAACATCGTATTTCCCAAGATAGGTGTAGTGCCTTTGTAATTGCCCTTTGTGCAAACATCTAGATGGGTGTGAACAAAACCCAGCTTTTAGCCCTGATAGTGTGGAAGGTGAAGTCATGTCCTGAATCCTTGCAGCATGATTAGGCAGAAATTAGGCAGAAATTTGGGGAGGGCAGCACTTGTGACAAGGCTCCATAGCCAGCCCAGCAAGGAGGGTCGTTGTCTTCTACAAATGGCATATATCAGCTGTGACAGATGGTGGTCTGTGGCCAGATAGTGAAATTAGAGAAAAAGGCCAAGGAAAAGAACTACTGGGGGCTAGAAAGGCAGTCCTGCAGTTTGGGAGGTGTGCTGAGGCAGAGGGAATGAACAGCACCCAGGGAGAGATCAGCCTCAGACAGAACTCGTGGGGAGAGACAGCTGGAAGACTCAGGGGTTCAAAGTGGTGATGAGCACAGAGTGATGCTGCACCACGGAGCTGAAAGCATGGCCTCAGTTGGCTAGCACAGCAGGAACAGACCATAGCATGATGGTGCAGAAAGTTGTGTGGGGCCACGAGGAGGACGTGTCATGAAATAAAAGCAACAGACAGCAGAAAGGAAAGAGTGAAAGTGTCATCTTGGTAAGAATGTCTTCATAAGTGAATGAAACGGGATGCTCTTGTGCAATGAACAATTGTGAAATGCAAGGAGGCACAATAAGGTGAGGAAGGTGAGAAGGCTGAGAGTGAAAGCAGGGCCACATCATTCAACAAGCAGGCCGTGTGAGATTTGCTCCATAAAGCTTCAATGGGACAATCAATGATGGGGCATTTGCTTGGAAGAAAGGAGAGCAGAAACACCAGTTTGTGGCCATCTGAGCAACAGTCTGACTGAGACACACAGGGAAGGGGACTGAGACCACCTCAGACTGCTCTATGCATGGCTACGATGTGCAAAGCCCTTCTGGCTTGTGATGCTGGTGGAGCAGCTCAGTGGAAGTCCTGCAGAGCCACGGGGCATCGT